AAGGAAAGGGTTTATTTCAGCTTATGCTTCCAGGTCACAATCCATCATTGAGGGAAGTCAGGGCAGGAACTGGTGGCAGAAACCATGGGTTAATTCTGCTTACTGGAGTGTACTCTGGCCTGCTCAGCTAGCTTTCTTTTATAGCCCAGGCCTGCCTGCCTAGAGATAGTGCCACTCACAGGGGGTTGGTCCCTCTCACATGACCAATCAAGACAATCTCTCGTAGAGGCAGCCACAGGCCAATCTGATTGAGATAATTCTTCAGTTGAAGTTTTCTCTTCCCAAGTGAGTCTAGATTGTGGCAAGTTGACAATAAAAATAAATGAAGATATCAAGTAATGAGTATTTCCCTTGAGAAATCATAGAATTAAGTTTCCATAATGAACTATCAATGGGAAGTAAGATGAAGTTATACTAAGAAAATGGACAATTAAACTTTTGCATGGACATTAGGAGAAAGCATGCATTTTCCTCTGAAAAAAAGTTACAAATTCTATGTGTGAAACAGAAGATAGATGGGGGTCAGATGGCATCTGAATGCTCTTCATTCTTCAATTCATGTTTATGTCTGCATTGTCTCTGTGAGGTCGGTCTCCAAGGAAGCCAACCATTGGTCGCATGTGTCAGAATGGCTGTTCTTGTTTTCCCCAGCAGGTGGAATATATGTGGTTTATATACCCCTCTTTTAAACTCTTGAATTCTTGCCTCCTTAGAAAGCATAGACAAAAACCAGTTTGAATGACTAAAGAGCCCTGAAAATAGAGGAAAGGCAATTAAGAATACAGGCCTTCACAATTCATTTAGACGCTCAGAAACATTGTTTTCAATTATAGAGCATTAAGGTAGAGTTCAGAAGAAGTAATTAGCTTATGCTAAATGACTGGTTCTTAGTGTAGCTTGAAGCCAGTTAAATTACAAGTAAAAATAACTGCTTAAAATAATTGTTTGCTAAAAATATTTAAAACCACCCAAAGTAAAGTACTTGTAAATTTAATTCATGTTTTTAAAAATTAGGATAATTAATATTTGTGTTTAGACAGTAAAGATATTACAAATGTTTCATAACATTCATTTATTGTGGGGGATGGTAAATGTGCCATAACACGTGTAGAGGCCAGAGGACAACTTTGAGGAGTCAGTTCTCTCCTTCCACCCTGTGGGTCCCAGGGACTGAACTTAAGTCATCAGGCTTAGCAGCAAGTGCCTATACCTGTTGAGCCATCTCACTGATCCCTAGAGATGTTTCAAATAATGAAGAGTATACCAAAATAGCTTCTCATAAATGCAAACCAAATATTATGAAGCTTCAAAAAAAATCACTAAATTTCATATTTGTTATAAAACATCTAGTTTATAATTTATTATAATGAAGATTAATTTATACTCAATATGACTTATAAAACTGTAACTTCATGTCAGTTACATTCTTGGTTCATATATTGAGTCACTGGAATAAAATGTTTCAACATCAGCCAAATATTCCAGGCAGATAGGTAATTCAGTTTTATGGGAAGATAAGTGATTAAATGTCACTCCTTGGGACAAGAGTTCATCAGTCCCCCTTGGTTTCCTGGTCACTGTACAGTCTTCAGCCAGAGATCCTACTCATGTAGATGCTGTCTTGCTTCTGGTTGGCTTGCTTTGTGACTTAACAAATTCAAGTGCAGGAGGTCACAAATTATACAGCTAATGTTCAACGTTTGCTAGGTTATATCTTAAGAATTCTGGCGGGGGGGGGATCACTTTCTTAAGCAATTTAAGGATCAACATTGTTTCTAAATGGGTTCACTTGCTGTTGAAAAGCCATAGGAAAACAAGTTTGCTCAGAAGTTATTTGCTACTCTTCATCTGTTCAAGGGAACCATGTGTTTGTAGTTCAATTAAATAAACTAAACTCAATGGGAAAAAATGGAGGAAAGTGAAGTGTTTCCTTACAAGTTCTATATGATCTGGCTTTGTTTTTCATCTTTAACTGTAGTTTCTAGTACAGTGTTAACACTTGGTTTTCACTTACAAAATAAACACTAATTTCATCAGTAAGAAACTTTTATGGGAGATTTTTCAGAATCAAACCCAGGCTGAATGCTTTTTTAAAACATTTATTTATTCTTTGTGTGTGTGTGTGTGTGTGTGTGTGTGTGTGTGTGTGTGTGTGTAGTTAGCCTTTGTGTCTGGTGCCTGCAGAAGCCAAACAAAGATTTCAGGAGCTGGAGTTACAGATGGTTGTTAGCTGCCATGTGGGTGCTGGGAACAGAACCCAGATCCTCTGCAAGAGCAACCACTGCTCTTAACCACTGAGCCGTCTCTTGAGGACCCCAGTTAGAATGCCTCCAGGACTTGAGGGGTGGAGGGAATAGGATTAGGAGTTCAAGGCCAAGCTGGGATGCATGAAAAACCTGTGTCAATAAACAAACAAATAATAAATAAATAAATTCTTAGTTAATTTAGTTGATAGTATATCTTGTTCAGAAGCTTAAATTGAAATTTCTTAGTTCGCATTTTTGTATTTATATCCTTTGAACTCCCTTGTTTTTCAGTTCTCATTAACATACCAAATTTTTGTTTCTTTCTGTCGGGGCGGTGCTCATGTGTGTGTACAGAGTCAGAAGGTGTTGGGTATCTTCCCCATCACTCTGCCTTATTCCCTTGAGACAGGATCTCTCACTAAGCCTGGACTTTGCTCTTTTTCAGCTGTCTCTGACCTCCCTGAGGCTGGGGCTACAGATGCACACAGCCACTTGCACCTTTTACATGAGTGCTGAGGATCTGAACTCAGGTCCTCAAGTTTGTGCACAAGCACTCTTACCCACTGAGTCATGTACCCAGGTCAAACATGCCATCTTCCTACAATGTATACTCACTTTCATCTCAAGGCTTCCTGACAGTAATAACCATCAAAGCACTGGTAGTTGCATTCCTCTATACAAACTGTAAAGGTACTTTCATGACCTAATGGTTGAGCAGACCTTGAGGAAGTCTGTTCAGTTAATGTTTGCTTTCCCCTCTGGTTGCTTTCTCTAGGACCCAGACGAATAGTGTTAGCTTCCAGGCAGTTTGTTGAATGAATTATGAGCAATGCCTATGATACGCACCTTAGGAACGCATCCTGTCATATTAGAAAGTACTTAACTCGTAAAGATTTGCATATATTCATTAGTGGGTCAGTTTCCCACGTGTTCTGCATTTCACTGTCAGCTTAGGCTCACAGAGATAAACAGAAACAATTTCAACTGCTGAAACTGGAATTAAGAGACTGTTCAGCTATACCAATGCTGAATTTGTTTTCCTTTGACAAAATTTGAGCTCCTTCCTCCCAAAACTCTGACTGAATAAGGAACACACTCACTGGAAATACAAAAAAAAGTGTGGTAGTAATGGGGTTATATGGCATTCCCTCCTTGAAAAAATAAAAATTAGTTGCTGCCATCATTTGCCGGCTGTAGAGCTTAAACAGTGAAATCATAGTGACTATGAAGCCAATGACAGTCTTTCCAATAAATAAACTTTACTGAAGGAAGATGCAGTTTTGATCAAGAATCACAACAGTCACATGCAATATGATTCATCTCTTGCTGTATAAGAAAATATAATTCTCATCCACAAGTTGGCTAACCCCTTCAGAGGATGGTATGATAAGAATAGGAGATAGGAATTGGTTAGGCAGTTAGGGTAAAAAGACCCCAAAGAAAAGTAGCCAGTTTCTTGGCTAAAAGTCAAAATGTCCTTGGGCCTCTTCGCAATATACTCCATTCCAAAGGCCAAAAATGTCAAAAGTATTTGGGAGCATTTATCTAATCCTTAAAAGATCTTAGAACTACCTCTTCAGAGAGGGCCAAAAAGCCCCATTCAAAAAGAAGAAAGAGTACATGAAGTTATCAGAAAAAAATGATGGGGAGATAAGGGAGGAGTTGGAGGGGAGGGAGTGGGCACGAATTTGATCAAAACACCTTATATGCATGTATGAAATTCTCAATAAATTATTTTTAAAAAGAAAATATAATTCTCATATGGTTAGTGGCAGTGAAGACTAAATATTCATTAGTCCACATGTGCTATAGGTCAGCAACGTGAAGCATTCTTTAGTTGTGCCTCTCAATCTGTATTGAGGTTACAGACAAAATCCCATTTGCTGAAACCACTTAAACATTTCACAGGGAAAGATGGTCTTCCTCCAAATTCACTAACATACTTTTGTCAGGCATGTGGGTCTCTCCATAGGACTTGAGTGTTGCAACTAGAAAGCCATGGCTCCTTATGACCTATTCTTTCTGGTTTCTTTGCACATTATCAATTCTGCTCTTTTTTTAATTTATAAGGAATGAAAAGTAAATCCAGTCATCACTCAGAATAGAGGAATTGGGTAGAAGAATTGGGTTCTAACCTTGGAAGGGAATGTTAAAAGCACTGGCTGCTCTTGCAGAGGACCCAGGTTCAGTTCCCAGCACCCACATGGCAGCTAACAGCCATCTGTAACTCCAGTTTCAGATGATCTGACACCCTCTTCTGACCTCCACAGGCATTGAATGACACAGGTGCACTTACATACATGCAGGCAAAACACTCATACACATAAACTAAAAATAATTTTTTTTAATTTTTAAGAATTTGTGAGTATATTTTGAATCTGCACATTCAACACATTGCTCTAGAAAGTGCCTTGAGATTACCATTAAAACTATTTGGTAATATGAGCAAAAGTTTTCTACACAAGTCATAACCAGAAATTTATTAAACTAGTGCTCTGGTCACTGAGCCAGGAGCACTGGTAATTCTTAGATTCTTAGAGCCTTGAGCAACCCAGCTGTTCTGCCTCTCCCCAACTTTGTGCAATTGATTCTGTGTCTTACCAAAAACACAGAAGTCAGAGCACTTAGTAAATGAGATGTGCCTAAATGAGAAAATGAATGTTTTTCAGTTTCATGTGAAAATTTTTGGAAATACTTTGCTATGCTGATATTTCCATTACATGATATGTTATCTTTTGTCTTTCATGAATGAAGAGAGGATGGCTGTGTTTCTGTCCCAGCTTAAGCTGCCAGCTGCAATGTTGGCTGCTCAAGCTCATGGGAGGCCTGGTCCACCTGGGAAGGATGGGTTACCAGGGCCACCAGGAGACCCTGGACCCCAAGGTAAGTCTTCAAGTGTAATATTTGTCCACCAGGTTTTAAATCCTCAGTATTTATAATATGCTAATTAAAATTAAAACATGTGTGTAGTATGTATAAAATTATTTCTTATGAAATAGCTTGTTAGTATTTGATTTTCTAGTGGTAAATATTAATGCTTAATAATTTAATTTAAAACTGATGTACCTGCTACTATAAATTCATTTTAATGAGATATAGTAGAACAATGACAACAATATTGTCTGTTTTGATATGATTGCTACCTAAGAATTCTAGAGATTTTTTTAATCCCCTTTTCAATGTTAGATAAGACACCTCATCTTGAAATCTTACAGAAACTAGGAAGTCTTGGAAGATACTATTACACATAGTCATTTGAGGCTAAAGTATGATTAGGAGAAAATTTGGAATGATGTCTCAATAGAACTTTGTAGATGGTAACTTTTTCAAGCATAGATACTTTTTTTAAATTTTTCTTTATGTTTGAAAATTTCATACAAGCATACAAATGAAATATGATCATATCTAGTCCCCATTTTCCCCTCTAACTCTTCCCATGTTCCCCAATACACCCCCTCTCAACTTGATGTCTTTTTAAAATATTTATTTATTATTTTTATTTTATGTGTATGAGTGTATTGCCTGCATTTTTGCAAATGCACTTGTGTCATACAATGCCTGCAGAGGTCAGATCCCCTGGAACTGGATTTATTAACAGTTGTTAGCTATCATGTAGGTGTTCGGAATTGAACCTGGGTCCTCTACAAGAGCAACCAGTGCTCTTAACTGCTGAGCCATCTCTCCAGTCCCTTGGTGTCTTTTTTAAAAATAACCAAGTCTAGTTAGTGCTGCCCATATGTACATGGTATGGGACCATCCACTGAAGCGTTTGAAACCTACCCATAGCCACATTCTCAAAAAGGAGGTGTTCTCCCTCCCCCAACAACTATCTATGACTAATAGCTCCTCAGTAAGGGGTAGGGCATAGAGATCACTTCTCTCTATACCAAGATTTTTGGCTGACTTGATCTTGGGTAGGTCTTGCACTGGTAACCACGTAGATGGTATATTTTGAACCTTAAAGAATACCTCATATGACTTCTAAAGTCTTTAAAATCCAAACATACTGGAGAAAAATTATCCCACTGATGACAACTTGATAAGACACATGCTCTTAAATTTCACTTGACTCAGTTATTCTGACATAGACATTCTGCAGAAATATGATTAGCAATCTGTAAACTGGCCAGATAGGCTTGAGTCTAGAGGATTCATGAATTCTAGCAGAGGCATGCCAAATTTAGTATGAACTGTGAAAGATAAGATTAGAGATACTGCAGCTATAGACACAAACACACACACACACACACACACACACACACACACACACACACACACTCCAAAGATATTCCTGAAAATTCTGGGTAATTTACTGTGCTGAGGTTGAATTCAATTTTGCTCTAGAATCCATTTTCAGGTACCGTTTGCTCATAATTAGTCTCAGTGGGCTCCACCTGGGAACAGATGGCACCGTCCCCATTTCTATACATACAGATGACTAGACACATGGAAAGAAAAGCAAATACCAGTACATCCATTCTCAGGATTAGCCACAAGTCCTCATTTCTCACAGAGGATGGACCCCAGGTACCAGTGAGTCTGGCTGAAGTCCTGTATCCATTCCTACTCCAATACAGTGCTCTGCTAGTCTATAGGGAGTAAAGGAATTTTGGCAGCATACCCCTAAGGACTTCAGATTGAATTCCTTAACACTCAGAGACCATCGTCTCTCCTCCACTGCCAGTAGCATTTGGAGGCAGCCAGTATGAAGACAGGAAAGTAAGGGAGACAGTTCTCAAGGCAAGAGGTGTTGTCAGCTACTGAAGGTTTAGCCAGGAAGCTGCTAATGAAGTGGTTAAGTAGAGCCACATAAGAGAAGCCAGTTAGTCTGAAAGTTAACTGCAACCGTTAGAAAACAGCAGTAGAGAAAGGCATCTGTTATGCTGAGCTAATTGATCAGAAGATGAGGACCATTTTGTCCTAATAAGTATTTTGCCAGAAGGCTGATTTGGAGACAGTTTATATAGATGGATGATTGAAGACTGGTGGGAGCCTTGGCACAGGTATAAATTTGTGATCAGGTGTTGTATATTCAATCCTAGCCACCTTGACACAAGATGCTTTACAGTTCTGCAAAGATCATTATTTCCTCAGTCTGTTCTTGTCACTGATTACTTTGGCCATATGCAGTTCCCATTACACAAGAGATAGGCTGGAGGGAGTAGATGCCACAAAGCCTTCTTGCTAATTACCAAAGTCATGGTGATGAAAGAAAACATGCTGCCCCTGATTGCTGTGAAGACAAGGGTTCTATGAGGATATATCTGGAGTCAGAATAAGATCTGGCCTCTGTGCTGAGCTTCAAAATCACTGTGTTGGTCTTAAACCTATAGCCTCCATTTCTCCTAGGTCAGAAGGTTTCACTCACAGCTGAAGGAAAAGGGAATCAAAATTGACTTTCTGTGTGTACACAGTTGTGTAGAGGGTAGTTATTATCTTTTATTAGTTGGGCGTGTTCTGAAGTCACAGTGTATGAGAATTGGAAAGAAGAACTTGAAAGCCCATCTGAAGATATGTGATGCTCAGACCACATGAAGAATAAGCACTGTTGATACCAGTAGAGAACTTCTGATGGATCCTTCAAACTTTGATGGTCCAAAAGAATACATGCAATGGGAGATCAAGGTGATCATAGAAGACAGAGTTACAGCTTAAGTCACCTGTCCCATACAACCTCCAGGCTATTATTGGCTTCTAAATGAAAGAAAACCCATTTTTTGCTAATCCATTAACCCATAGAAAATTGATGGTCCTAGCATAGTTTTAACCTGTTAGATCTGATAGCAGTGGGGAGCACTAGAAAGGAGAGGATATGACAGTGAATCAAAATGACTTAAGAGCTCAACTGTCCAGTTAATGGACCAGATCCAGGGAAGCTGAACAACTTGAAGGCATAAAGCAGGTGCCCCACATGAAGAACTGTTCCACCCAAAATGCCAACAGCACCCTTTTCAGGCATCATCTATGTAGTGTGCACATAAGTGTGTACAAATTTGGAAATAAATCTCCAGAGTTACAACTGAACTCTCCCTCTGGAAATAAATGCAGTCTGCCATCCAATAAACTATAGCTCAGATCTCATCTCACCTATGACTAATGTTTCAGATGGCTGTGCACTTTAGATTAGGGTGTTTCTGGTCTTCTTTACAGTGTTCTACAGAACTTCAGATGTCAAACTGTCATCCTGTGTACTTACACTCTCTGGGCATACATGCATGGTTACAGATACACTGACCTCTTCTAAATTTGAAAAGCGTCCTCCCTGAAAGAAGTAGAAACTAAATTCTAAGAAAGGAGAAAATGTTATTGATATTGTTAGTATTTCTATCTCAGGCCCTTTTATGAAATAATTATAAAAAGGAACCAGTGGCTTTATGACAGTTATAATTAATGAGTTTAGAACCGTATTAGGAAATTCAGGAGTGGACAACTCTCTTGTTCTTACGCAATTCGATGGCTTTATTAACCTAATGAACTCAGAAATTGCTACATTTGACAGGGGGAAGGTAAAAGTGACCTTATACAAATATGAAATTTATCATTTCTTGTCTTGTGATACAATATGTACTAAAATCCTTGTGATATTATGTTTCAATTGTATTAAAATCTTAAAATTGATTTTAAACTACATATGTCAATTTTTGCAGATATATTCATCACATGGGATTGGGTTGTCCTTGCAAAACCTCTTGTTAATCAAAAGTTCATCTATCTTTAGTTATTTTTCTTTCTTCGCTTTTTGAGCCTATGAGTATAAGTTCTTACTGACATAACTCAAAAGGACAGTTTTACCGTGTATGTAAATGTTGAACCTGAGGTGAGTTATCAAGTAAACCTTGGGCAATAAATACTAGTTAAATTCCAGAAATGTTTAAACAATCAATTTAGAGGGATGTTTTCAGGTGGTTCCAAACACTGAGGTTCTTTCTTGTAGTTCTAAGTGCTAAAAGAAGGCCACTTCTATCTAAAGATCTTGAAGTATTTTAAATTTGAGTAGGTATCAACTTGGGATATTGTGCCTCATGTTTACGTCACTGTTTCCTGTGGTATCTGGGACAGTATTGAACATCTTTAATATAGTTTTCATATATGTTTTCACTATGCACTTTGAAATATATCTTTTCCCACCATTTTTACAGTTACCACATCTCTAAGATAGTTAATTCTGTGGTGGTTGTATTGCTAATGTTATTTAGAGAATAATGCATATACTGTGTGGTCAAGTATACTTGAAAGTGGTTACCACCAACATGATATGTTATTCCCAACACACATGCAAGTTTAGAAAAGGTAACAATTAGGTTAGGACCCATTGTTTCCTGCTGAGATGCCAGTCTGCTTAGATTCTTCCTGTGACTCTGTGTAACTCCTCTGTTCACGTGGGACTGGGAATGATCTCTAGGCTACTGTATGGAGATAAAAAAATAGAACTAAAAGTCCTCTTGTTACCACTGTGAAACACATCACACAAAATCTTTTTTTCAAACAATGTAGGATATGTGGTTGCCATCATATAAGATAAAGATAAACTTTTTGTAAGGTTTTTAAAAGCCCAGATAAGGGCTCCTGGACACAGGAATTGCTTTGTACTATTCTAGCTCAGACAACACAAGCATATTCAAAAAACAAAATGATTTTAACATGTAAACAGATCTTAGACCTAATTGATTTTTGTTAAAATACCTTATGTTGAAGTACTTTCAGGGGAAATTCCTCATTCTCTTATTTTCTAGCATTGTTAAAATTCTTGGTCCTTTATTATTATAAACTGCTATGTTAAAGCTTATCCTGTTCTTAACTGATTTGACTCAAACTCATATTCCTGCTGACATTAAAACCATGAGCTGCTTGTTTTATTTAATTATTGGACTAATGTCTGCATTCTTATATTACCTTGTTCTTACATGAACAGTAGTTCTCTTTCTGGATATTTCTTTCATATTTCCTGTACCTAGACTCCCACCAGAATTTTTATTGAGGCTGTGTATCATAGCAATATGACAAGATATAAATGATTTATTTGAGTTCTTTAAGTATCATTTTTGGTAACAAAACTCTTAGTATCAAAGTTTTCCTTGTTGAGACTTTTTATATTAGCTGCATTTTTTAAGATCCTTGTTGCCTATTATATGGGACCTGATATTTAAATTTAGTGTATGACGGGCGGAATGGATAGCTGAGACATGATTAGGTTGAGTCAAGAAACAAACTCAAAAAATGGTTCTTTTGTGTGCTATGTTGCCATTAAACACTTCCTTTCATGTCTCACTTTTTATTTTTCTCTCACTCAGGCTACCGAGGACAGAAAGGAGAAAGAGGTGAACCTGGAATTGGGCTGCCAGGGAGTCCAGGTCTTCCTGGGTCTTCAGGTAATAGAGATATTATCTCCACACATGTAAGCCTCTCAAAACAGTCATCTTCTTCCACATGGCCTTTTCGTGTGGAGTTTAATGACACATGATGTTTGGGGGTGGCGAAAAAAAAATAGGATCCTGTGTGACCTGCATTCTGATGGTGTCTTTTGCTTCCTTAGCACTGGGTTTGCCAGGTTCACCAGGTGCCCCAGGGCCTCAAGGCCCCCCAGGACCCAGTGGGAGATGCAATCCAGAAGACTGCCTCTATCCTGTGTCTCCTGCCCATCAGCGGGCAGGCGGCAAGTGAACACACAGAGGGAAAAATCCTTCCTGTGATATCTCTTTGCCATTGGAGCTGTCAGTATGGGCTTCCAAACCATGCGTTCTTAAGCGCTTATGGTTTATGGACTGCTGTTCCTTCTTTATTTTTTTTTTTTCAGACACCAAAAGCAACAATCTGATTCTTATTCCTATAGAAATTGCGACTCGATATTTTTTTAATTTTTACCAACTTTGTTCCGTGTTTTGCTTTCTCGCGGCTCTGAGTTCCTCTCGGTTTCATGTGAAATACACAAGTGGACTTGTAAACTTCTCCCTGGTTCTTCAAAAGAAATCACATCTGATGATGTAGCAGATGGAACACATACATTTTGTAAACTCATCAACATGTGATTGGTCTTTAATTTCTGAATTTTAAAATTTCAAACTTCCTATGATATTTTCTTAGTATTTAAAGTTATTACTGCTTAAAATTTTTCTTTCATTTTTTTGAGACAGCACTTTGCTGCTGTTGACTGTTTCATGACTTATTTTTTATAACAAGAATTCTTATGCCATCCTATGTTCATTTTATTTATGCAGAAAAATACACCATAAGAGATTCACTTTAAAAAAAAAAAATACGGACGACTTTTTATTGGGAAGCCCAAAACTCATCATAGCCAACTACTGGAGTGATTTATTAATATTTAGTTGTGAGTTCAATTCAAAGCACTCACCGACAGCATGCACACATGGCGGCATGTAAAAAGAGGAACAAATTCCATTCTGTGGTCACTTCAATGAGTTTCTCCTGTGGTGAACAGAAAGCTGTTTTCCCTAAGAGGTGTTTAGTAGTAAAGACACCAAGCTGTCATCACCTCCTGGCAAGACCTTTGAGCTCTTTCATGCATTATTGTTCTGAACTTATCCTTGAGCTGAACGTTAGAGCAATGGGCAGGATCTGTAGAGACTGGAGAAGGAAACTACTCACCAAGAAGACAAATGTGTGGTGTCACCGAGTGAATGTGTGGAATGTGAAGCCCACCTGCTCCTAAGGAAAACAGTGGTTCCTCCAAAGCTGCTGAAGGAGGTCCAGTTCAGCAAAGGAAAGCCAGGGAGCCCATGTGCCAGTCACCGTGTGCTTCGAAACCCTATGTTCTGAAAGGAAACAAAATTACAATGACTGCAGTTGCTCAATGAAATATTTATTGCATAGTTATTTGTGGTTGGGAGAAGTTTTTGGTGGGAAACAACTGATTTTCTAGAATATTGAGCATGAGAATGTGGCTGAAATCTAGCTGGTTGTCCACAGATGCTGAGCAGGTCACCAGACCTCTCGTCACAGATGCCAGGAGGTCACACCTCTTGGAGGAGCAGAGTAGATGCCACAGGATAAGATGATTGCTTTTGTCTGTTAATTGAAAATAATGAGTTTAGAAAAGCAAGCCCACTGAAAGTGGTAAAAGCTGTGAACAGATTTTTGCTGGGGAGCATGCCTGACTTAAGGCGGGGTTTATTTCAATGCACCCATGATTTGAACTGGTTTTCATTACAGATAGATGAACTGCTGGTCAGGTACTGTCGACATGGCTCTGCATAACACAACCTTTTAGTTATTTTATATTGAATTTTGCTGTATATTTTAATTCCAAGTTTATTTTTTTTCAAGGTTACTTAATTTATTTTCAGTGTTTTTAACTTTAAGTTGATTTCCTCCTTCATTTTCTTTCTTATTCAATACCTGCAATGGTGCTGTTTTAAAGTCATACAATTGGAATATGCATATGTTTTGCATATATATCTTCTTAATCAATGATAAAGTATCTCCCAAAATGTACATAGGGTGAAAATTTGGTGCTATGTGTATATCTTGAGCTTTTAATTTGTTGAATTTTCTGAAAACTTAAAATTTACCTGATGCATATTAATTTACTTGAATTTGTCATAGAACACAACCTTTTCTATGTTTTCAAAGATTATTTTTAATATTAATTAACAGGCTATTTATCCTTTTGCCTCTTGGCTTATTCAAAGATATTTATTTTATCATGTTAATATTTTCATAGGCTTTTTGCTGATAGTCATCAGTGTATTTGGGGTTTTATAGTTGATCATTTCACATGTATAAAGAGAGGCAATTCATTTTCTTATTTTGTAAATTATGTTCATTTCAGTTCTACAGAATATGACTGACAAACTGTATAGTTAATAATCTTTCTCTTATTTCCATGAATGTGTGATAGGCTTATTCCTGTTTTAAGTATTTGGATGCATTCAGGTGACTTGATGAGGGTAGAGATAACATGATGCATGTTGAAAAGTGCCCTGTTACAATGATTCAAGCTCTCTTCTTGTACCTGGAACATATGACTAAGTGTGACACAACTAGAGGGACAGGGCCATGGTCACATAGCATAAGCCCCACATACCATTATAATTTATCATCTTCAAGTGTTTTGTAAAGCCTTAGCTTTATTCACAACAAAGGGCTGAAACACTGGGTTTAGCTCATACAACACAGAAGCTGGGCAGATGCTCAACCCTTTAATAAAACGGAACAGGATAATTTGGTCCCAAAGAAGGGTAGGAAATTTCCCTCTAAATAACTTTATGGTTGCCAGTTCTCCTGTAATTTGCTTCATTCCAAGATGAAAAGTGTTTAGTTCCAGTGATGCCCACAGCAAGGGAGAAGAAATATTAATTTTCTGTCATTTGTGCCTCAGACTTGGTTTTAAATGTAAAGTAGTTACAAGTCACTATGACAATATTAAAACTGTTTTATCCATATGCAAGCATGTTTGAACTCAGGTCTTAAATTTCATACCAATCAAGTTGACACTTACAGGTAGAAATCTTCCAGGATAGAGAAGATTTATCTTCATGTCATATTTAAGACTTTTGGAACCTGAAGAAAAGGAGAAGAATAACCCATGCATTTTTTAGTGTTCTTTCCAACTGAAAATGTTAACAATTACTTCTAACTGTAACAGAAGCACAGCCAGTCTTAACTTTTTAAACTGCATATCTTCATCAGAGTTATTTACTTAGTGACTTTAAAGTCATGTGCTTTTTTTTTTCTATATTTCATGACATAGTTGAAAATTTGTAATTTTCGTCACTTATAGAAATTAAGTAGTTAATTCAAGATATGTTGCCTATAAAAACTATCATTTAATGTTCAGCTTGCAGTTTTTATGAATAAATCTTAGACGTTAAGTAGAGTTTAGCTTTTCCGTTTCTGCAGCCTCTCTCATCTTAGAAACTTATGATATACCTCTTTTTTTCCACAAGATGGCGTTTGAGGCACTTTGTTGAGAACTGAACAAACCAAAGTCTACAACTAAGAAAAAGTTGGTGGACAATTGAATCAGACTTCTGCCCTCGCACTTTTTTTTTTTTAAACTTTGTAAATATTCTTTGTTAAATTATATTTTGTTTACTTCATTTGTGTTTTTCCTAGTTTTCGGTACCTTTGTGAAGCAGGCACAATAACCTTTAGTTATTGACTGTTTCAACTTTATTATTTCTTATGTGTAGACCTGTATGCAACATGCAAATTGCTACTTAACTTTGCTTGTATACTACCCTTGTATTTTAGTGACTAATGTGAACACACCTAAATAATCATTCTCCCTCTTAGACAGGACAATCTTTGACTGACATAAAGCATCTAGCTTGTCACAATAAGTTGACAATTTTTAAAAAAGCTGCACAATATCTAAACTCTGAATTGTTCAAGATAAATGTTTGCAATTTGATTTGTATAATGTCTATTTTTCTAGAAATATATCACTATTTATGAAATCAGATAAACCTGCTTTTCAATATACCAGCTTTTCTCTCACATTGATAACACTATCCTGAGACTTGGAATTAGGCTCAGTGACATGCTGAAGTGGCTTCCCACAGAACCTCAGAGTAGTTTTGCAGATTTGATCCTTGATCTTCCTTTGAAATTATTTTTCACCCTTGTCTGTACATATCCAGCTTGTTTAGACACACAGGTGTTTTCTGTCCTGGCTTTAGAGTATTGCCCAGTGTGAAGGAATGCACTCTCCTTTTATGCCTCTCAGAGATTACCCAGACTTCTAAGACAAGGCAATACAGAGAATTTAATTAATACTGTTTATGTCATGTCCATCAATATAATGTGACCCATTAGATTGTAGTTATTCACTAGTTGGTTGGTAAAAGTAGCATTCATTATATTACACGTGTTCGGCTTCTAGGAGTTTCAGAAAATGGGAAGTTATTTTCATTTTTATGTACTGATACAACAGGAATTACAAACCTTTCACTAAGCAAAATGTCATGCAGAAAAACTGGTCAGGTTCATTGAATTGAATGCAGTGCCAGGTGGACACAGAGAAAACTCATTCAGACAAGTAGACTAAGCAAGCAAATTTACCTGACAGACAAGACAGATTTATGAGACAAAGCTTAGTCTATGAACATCTATCTACATGGAATAAAACTTTGATTCCAATAGTGAATGATATATCGTGTAACTCAAGAAGTTAGCTTTTTGCTTCATGAATTTGTAAACAAAGGAATGCTAATAAAATAGATTCACTAAACTTAGGGTTAACTACTTAAAATTTAATACAAGTCTGTGTGGCACTTGACCGTAGTAAGCTTACAAGTATGAAAATGCAATTCTACAACTTTTTATTTTGCTTTGTTACTTAAATTATATTTGTGGGATAAATACTTTTAGTGAATTTAAATTCAGATTGTAACATGGAATATTTTATAACTATTTTTAAAATAACATTTGGGATGTATTTTTCTCCGTTTTGTTTGATCTCTATCTTACCTCATCAGCTATTTAAGGTTTAATTTTATTATACTCATGTTAAGTGAAATGGCACTGGTTTTATTCTAAACCCAAGTGAATACATGCTTTGAGACTTTGATTCCTCTATATTTATTATGCATAATTAGCTTCTTACCAATCTTAGCAATAAAGGAATTAACTTTAAATCAGGGAACTCTAAGGTGCAATTCTTAATACCACACCCACTCTTTACCACTTTTCAGCAGCTGAAGTCCCTCCCACACTTCAATTCCATTCTGCTAGGTCTCAACCACAGGGACTCTCCAAAACCACTCTCATATCAAGAGTAAGCACTGTTTATAGCATCTAGGGAACCTGAAACCAGTCTAATGCAAGGCTGTGTTTATACCACACTGGAACACACAGTTTTGCCATGTGAATTGTTGCTTGACTTGTCCTAATGGAGTTTATAACCTACCTCCCTGGTAGCTCAT